TCTCTCTGTGCCAAACACAGCTAACCATGCTTAAACTCAAAGCCAGCGCTTAGGGACAGAAGACAGCATATCACACCAACCTCAGGTGGCCAGGGCAAAAGATGCAGGCTCAGCCAAGGTTGTCCTCATGTATGTGCATCTAACAAGATAAAAGGACCTCCTCTCACCACCCCATGTATCACTTGCTATGTTTATGTCCTCTTAACCAATATATGATATCCAATTTTACTCTGCAAGGACTGCCCCAGTATAGAAGACGGATGTAGAACACAGAATCTAAAAGCCAGATTTTCTTGCTTTGAGTCTTATGTGGTCTAATTACTGTATGTTCCTGTGTTAAACAAGTTTCTTCTAATTATCTGTGCCTTGGCTTCCTCATCTGTGAAACATATCCCAAAGGTGGTTCTGATGGTTAATGGGTCAGTATATAAAACACTATCTAGAACATGATATTGTCACACAGACGTTAAGTGTCACTATTATTATACCTTGGGAACTTACTCTAATTCTTTATGACACAACAGCATATTTTTTCTGTCCATTCTCATTCTTCACTGCCACCACCACTTCCTGCTGCTAGCTTTCCCCCTGATGCTGTTCAGTCCATGACAAACCTGGAGAGGTATGTTCCAGGCCAGGTAGACCATGTGTTTGTATTCATCCATCCAGATTTCAGCCACTCACAGAGCATTGCGCTTCAAGAAAATGCTTAGATCCCACGCGTAGGGCTTGGGGTATCTCTCTAGATGAGCCACCCGGGAGCAGGGTAAGATCTCAATCTTCCCTCCACACTGCCACACCTGCAAGAGAAGGAACTATCTCCTGCATAGACTGGGCCCTGCGGTCAATGAATTGCATGGCTTGATGACTCACAAGAAGGCCCCATTCGGGGACCATTTTTTAATGACTCTAAGTTTGGTCTTCCTACCCCAGACTTCTTATTCAAATTGTCCATCCTTAGGAGACTATCAAACTGCTCCCCCTCTGTTGTCAAACAGTCCTGGAACTGAACTCCTACTTCCTTCACAAAGTCCTCCTGAAAGGACAAAAGAGGCTGCCTCTGCTCCCTTATCACCAAGGAAAGTGGCCAAGTCCTGAGAGGCACCATGCCCTCTCACTAGACTTAACTTCCCATGACCCTTCTCTGTCTCAAGCCAGACACAGGACAAATGGCAGACAGAAACTGAGGTGGCTTCTATGATTCTTCCTCTTGGTGCTCACCCTTTACCTAATCCCCTCCCCTTGAGTGTGGCCTCCCTCCTTTTTCTTTCTTTCTTCCTTCCTTTTTTATTTTTTATTTTTATTTATTTATATACTCTACCAGGAATTGAATTCAGGGAGCCACACTGAATTCACTGAGCCACATCCCCAGCTCTTTTTTTTTTATAATTTTGAGACAGGTTCTCACTAAGTTGCTTAGGGCTTCACTAACTTGCTGAGGCTGGCTTTGAACTTGAGATCCCCCTGCCTCAGCCTCCTGAGCTTCTGGTATTATAAGCATGCACCAACACCCAGCCTTTTTCTGTCTGATAGAACATGGTAGGGGTTACAGGATGTAATTGACTATGTGTATTTGATTACATGACTTAAGACTGTAGCACCCATCTTGTTAGGATATGCTCTCTTTTTCATTGACTTTGAAGAAGCAAGCTGCCATTTTTTGAGCTATCATGTGGGAAGATACAGTTAACAAGAAACTAAGGGTAGCTTCCAACTGGTAGCCAGTGTGAACTCTGAATGCTTCCTTAGTCTGTAAGACTTTACGGAACCTGATGGAATCACAATCATGTGAGCTTGGAAGCAGATCCTTCTCTAGCCAAGTTTATATGAGAACCTAATCCTGGTGCACACCTTGAATGCATTCTTGAAGAGGGCCCAGCTAAGCTGTACCTACAAACCTGATTCCTAGAAATTGTGAGGAAAAGAATGCATCTTGCTTAAGACCCTAGATTTGGTCAATTCAGGTACTTCTTGACCAAAAGCTACCAGTTCTAAATGTTTTTCTTTACTACCCTGATGAGTACAAACATGCTTATCAGAACATGCATTCTAATATTTAACTCAGAAAATATGATTTTCATTCCCATGGATAATAGAACTATCTACTCATATTGGATTGGTATCAGGTCTCCAGAATCTTCTCTTCATAGTTGCCTAAGTGAGTTGCAGTTTCTGAGAGCTAATTAGCCCATCTGGTAGTGGTTAGTAACCTATTGTGGAGAGTGGTTAATGAGAATGGGAGCACAGTGACTGAGATCGGGGGTCTCTCATGACCTCATGGTTGTGGCGGGTCTGGTGCCT